CAGCCCCTGGGCTGCAGGCTAAAGCCTGGGAGGCAGACGCCACCCTAGATGCAGGCACAGTTCCAAAGGACACTGCAGAACCAAAGCAATCATCCTGCAGAAAGACAGACCCAACAGGCTCCTTGGTGACCCATAAAAACAAGGTGAATCCAGGGGAAGAACTCTGGTGCTCCGTGGGCACATTTACTTGTCAATCAAGAATATTTGCAAGCAACTGGCAGGAGCAAGTCTGTGGCCTGAGCTTCAGGCAGTCAGGGGACATTAGTTACAAGTAATTTCTAAATGTCATTTCCCAAACCATCATGACTGATAGCCTTTTTTGCAAATTAAAGCTTGCAGGTGTTTAAAGGGGAAAAAAAGTGGACAGGTTAATCAGTAGATTAACAGGGCAATTGTTACAATTTCTTCGGTACTACTGGGTTCTATAATTAAGTCTGAACCTGAGAATCTTTCCCAGGATACATTCAAGTTTAATAAAAAGACCAACAGTCTAAATAAAATGTAACTCCAACTAATACGATGATACATGCTAACTAGTGACAGGTTCTTCCAAAAGAGATCTCTTCTAAGAAGAGATCACTGTGTATCCAGGGATATTGTTTGAAAGTAAAAGAAATGCTTATTATACAATACTCCCCTCACTGAATATTATTATCTTGATTGTCAGGAGATCGTAATGACATCATCTGCAAATGTTGTTTGTTTATATAATCTTTTTATTTTTAATTCATCCTTATCTTTCTCTCTTATCCACATAGGTGTCTTCCCACTACGATTTGTTGGGGGAACAGCAACTTTATGATATTGAAAAAATATTTCTATGTATTCTTGTCTCAAATTATATAAAAACTAGAAGAAGGGAGCAAAATTTTAGTGCTCTTGGGAATTTGTGTCTATGACTGAAGTTTCAATGCCTCTAATCCATAAAGAATGCTATAGCCCTAGGCAGTTTGGCTCAGTGAATATAGCGTCAGCCTGCAGACTGACGGGTCCCAGGTTCAATTCCGGCCAAGGGCACATGCCCAGGAATCGGGCTTAATCCCCAGTGTGGGGTGGGCAGGAGGCAGCCAATCAATGATTCTATCTCTCTCTCCCTCTGAAATCAATAAAAATATATTTTTTAAAAGAATGCTATAGACTTGAGATTTGAACCAGGACAGAAAACAATCGCCCTTGAGGTTGCCTGCACGAACCATCTGCCTTGAGTTTTGATTCCTGCTTGATTTAGATGACAGGATATTTCCCATGCAGAAGGAAAAAAAACACAGGATATTTAGAAATGATTACTACTTGTAGTCCTGTTTGTTACTCTCACTGTTCAAGGGATAATAGTTACACGACATTACTCCCTTAGTAAAGGTATTTTTAAGTGTGTGTTATGGTAGAAAGTAAAACTGCCATTAGTTGGACTAAACACTCCAGCATCTCCTGCAAAACTACCAACTCCCTGCAACTTGCCAGCTCCTCACTGGATCACTAGGCTAGAAATGTTTTCAATTCCTTCTCTACTCGTGGCTCAAAAAGGGCTGGGAAAAGAGTGAGCTATTAGTTCCATGACAAGTCTCCAGTGCATCTAGTAATGAGACTGACATCCTATTGTTCAGCCAATGCCCACAGACTACAAAAGTATTTTTCATACCCATGGCTTCAAAAACATTTGAGGCAGCAAGTGAGCCTGTTGGGGATAAGGACTCCACAAAATACAATTATTAATTAACACTGTACACGACTCAGAGCTGACATCCTAAAGTGTATAAGCTAGTAGTTGGGTTATTGAAATGAATATAGCTGTGATTCACAGCACTCTCCTAGCAGAAGCATTCTGAAGGTAGCCTACATGCTTGTTGCAATCCAAACAACTCTTCATATAAAATTAATTTGGTTTAAAAATATAAGCTATATGCCATAAAGGGTTACATTGATTTCAATCCATCCCACCTTACTTCACAGTGCCAGCGCTTGTAAGAGAGAGAATGTGGCATTCTTAAACTACTCCATCAAAGAGAAGGAAGGTTCGAGAAGCAAGTGAAATTTAAAGAGTCAATTTTCAGGGGCCTTCATTTTGAGAGTTGGGCTATTTTTGTCCTTGTTTTTAGAAGAAAATCAGCCCCTGCTTCTATCCCAAGCATTTGTGAAGAGGACAGCAGGGACAACACGGGCACAGCTGTCCAATTTACACTCACAAATGCAGGTGTTGCACAGACACAAAACAGAGGTCAGCTGAATCCTGCTCCTAATTAGCTACCTTTTTCACAAGGATTTTCCTTTGTGAAGTTATGCATGCAATTTGGGTTCAACTTAGAGACCATTTTTAGATCCCAGCATGCTATCCACTAAGAAGCAGGCTGTCATTATAAAGCATAATTTACAGCATAGTTAATTTTACATGTTTTTTTTTAAATCGACATCATACCTAAGGCAAAATTCTGTTCTGCACACACATTATTCACTGTTTTCCATCCACTTCTCAATATTTAAAAGTGTAGGATTTAGCCAGAAAATCTTTTATGTAGGAATGGGAGAATTTTTGCCCTTTTTCTAAGATTAAGAAAGTCCGCAATTTTAATAATGAGGACCAAAGACTTTGTTAAATGATACAAGAGAAGCAGCTATTTGCTGTTGTCTTCAGTGGGGAACACCCTGGGGCTGATTACAGCAGTTCTTAGAAATGGCAGGATGGAGACTGGTATCTAATACAATCCATTAAGAAACCCAAGCCCTAAATGAAATGACCACAAAATCCTATCAGTTCACAGAAATGCAGCAGCTGTACATGTTTATTGTAATACAATAGGATATTGTTACAGAGATAACACTCTTAAAATAAAATAAAAAAAAAGAACCCAGCAAGTGATGTGACCAGTTTATTTCTCTATTTGAAAAACGAGAACGTATATAGTGTGGCAGAGCTTTTGATATAAATAAGCATGAAGATTGCAGAGAAGACAGGCATAGTATGTACACTAATGGGCTGCGGGGATCAGCCGGCAAACTTCAAGCCACTGGGATGCCCAGGTTTTGCAGGCTATTCAAAGACCTACCCCAATAACCCTGCAAAAAGGGGAAGGGAGTGCTGCTCCTTCAGCTGACGGAGAAGTATTCCACATGCTAATTCTTAGCTTGGCCCCAGTTACCCAGTTTTCAAAACTGTATGCTATGGAAGTTTGACCTTAAACTTTATAATGATGTAATATTACATATGACTTATAGTGATGAAAATTTATATATGGTATTATTATATATGGTATTTTATATAGATATATTTAGACATATGTAAAAAATATATATATATATAATTATATAGAGAGATATATAGATATAGGTAGATTATTCTAGGTTGTTTTCCAATTGGGTCAGGTGCCTTCCTTCAAAGGCTTACTAAAGTGAAACCACTTTGCAAAGTATAACAAGTATCACCAGGATTGTAACAAATTCGTCTTGCTGGATTTTATTCACTACAGGCAGTCTATCAAGATTCAGACCCATAAACTTTCAGAATGATAGAAAGACAAAAAAACAACAACAAAAACTGTTCTCTAGCCATCTTCTAGGGTGGAATGCAAAGTATTTTGTTGTGGTAAGTAGGGCTTTGAAGACAAAAGCGCTGGGGCCATTCCTGTGATTGTTACCCCAGTGTTCAGCATGCAAAAGGGGGGCCCCAGGGTCTCAGAGATCATTTAATCCCTGTATATTAAAGCAAACCATGTCTCCATGCACTGCTCTAACCACCCTCTTCTGAAGCTTCCCTGCTTTCCGCCACCCCCCTAGCCCCCCCCCAAGGGAAAGTGAACTTGACTGGTGACTATCCCAAAAGAATTGCAGTTTCTTTACTTGCCTTCCTGTTCCAGTGAAGAATATAAGCCTAATTCTTAGAGACTGCTACTAAATTCCACCCTACTGAATTCTGCAGCCTAATTCTTTCAGCGTTATGTTTTTTGGCAGAATTATGTGACCCAAATTTGCAGGAGATAATTTGCTGCAACAGTGCTTCTTGTAATGCAATGAACCCGAGATGAGCATTTCAGGATTGCAAATATCAGACTTAAAAATAACAATGATTTGCTTCAAGAAAGGATAGGTTTTGCTCTTTCTTGTATTATGGAAATGGAAATGCTCAGCAAAGTGTAGACAGTTTTATGAATTAAGGAAGCTTTACAAATCAATGGAAATAATCAAGAACTAGCAATTTACTTCAGTAATTGGTGGCAAAATGCTATAGAAGTTCTTTAAAGATTAAGAAATTAGCAGTGTGTGTGTATGTGTGTGGGGGATTGTAAAACCATCATGCATTCCATTTCCCATTAGTGGCGGCTAATACTATTCTTTAAAATGACATTTTCAAATCTGAGATGTCTTAAAACAAACAAAAACAAAAAAACAAAAATATATATATGAATGACTATGGCCGTTCCTGTTTCGCCCACCATGCCTCTCACAATGCTTGGCTATGTGAGCAATGCTGGTTCATGTATTCATTTTTTCACCTTTTCTCAATATCAATCAACTTTAATATAAGGTATCAAGAGAGACTTGATGTGATTCTTGGTTAGAATTTGTGGATCGGATTTTGGAAAGAGCCAGAGCAATAGTCCCATTGGGAGCAAGTCTTAAACTGAGTGCACTAAAGCTTCCTGGCCATGCATGGCCTGTGGCTAGTTCCTCAGGAATCTCTACCACTTATCTTGCCAGATTCTAGTCTGCGTGTTCTCCTGCTGGGGAGTCCCTGTCACTTTAGGGTACCAGCTGTGATCTCCGTGTCCTTATCAGATTCATTCACCCTCTCAGAATGCAAACACCAAGACCAGAGAAACTGAAGAACAGGTTATTATATACATTACAGGGGATCCCTTATTCCAAAAGGTTAAGTATGACAGAGAAAGAGAACAGAAAAAAAAAAAACAGAAAGAATAAAAGGTGCGCAGTGTTTGCAGCTAGGCTAAGAGGCACATGCGCACGTGGGCTGGGGAGGCCTGCAGGGCCGCCTCTCTACGTGCTCTTACCTTGTTTCTCTTGAAGTAGGCTCGTCGGCAGGCCGCAAAGCACTTCTCGCTGCAGAAGCTTTTCACCTCGCTTCCCATACTCAGGGAATAGCGCTTGATCCCCACTTTCTGGCACCAGGCACACATTATTTGTACATTTGACACATCATCTTCTATAATAAAAGTATAAGAAAAATGTTCATATCAGAAGCAAACATCCCTTCAAACTTAGTCACACCCTGAACCTGAAAGAGCTACCCGGGGTCTGATTTCAATCTCCGCACCTCACCATGGTCTGACCTAGGAGAATGGCCAGCTCTTGCGGGGAGGGCTCAGCGCTTTTTTTTCTTTTTCCTTTTTTTCTGTTGGCTCTTAAGTTCCCAAAGACATCATTTACTTAAAAACCAGAGCATGACGACAGAGCCATGGGAGTTCCCAGGGCTGCTTAGCCTGGTAAAAATGCTTATTCTGCCTGGTTATACCAGGCTCAGTACTAATGAAGCTTGTAGAATGGCCCATTTGTTCAAAGGTGCAGCTGACAGCCTACAGGATCTACATATGGGGGAGGACAGCACACTCACATAGGTGATGACCTAATGTGAACCTTGACAGTCAGGAGCCAGGACCGATCTTGGCATGTTCCCTATTACATGTTACATATGGAGTGTTGTTTACTTTTGCAGTATAATGATTCCCAAATGATATGGTTAGTCAACAACGGAGAGATTGAGTGGCCAGATTCTGCTGATACAAAGGCAGTCGCCTGGCTCACTCGGTGGTCTCCTGATGCGGCCTTCCCACATGGGGTCCCAGACAGGCGCAGGCCTGATTGAAATTCTTCTCCATGAGATATGTGTGATTCATGGTCCCTGGATGGAGGAATAGTCCTGGGGTGTCAGCCATGAGCTCTGAGGTCACATGGCTGCCCAGATCATTCTTAGCCAGACGGGTGGTCCTCACAGCTCCAGGAGGACCTGTCGCCCACGTCATGGGGATGCTCAGAATGATGTTAGGTGATATGCAAATATTTTCAATATTTAAAATGCTGTATTTCTTTTCCTTTGTAAGAAAAGAAAACAAATTTAAATAGTCCAAGTCCATGACATCATAAATACTACTGCTCAAAACAAATAAAGACGTTTAAAGTGAGCCAATAAATGAAATGTAATAGTAATTACAGTGCAGGTAGCAAGATGTTAAGACAAACATGCGATGGTGATATTCAAATGACTGAAGTCTGGGAAACTTTTGTGGGGGACTAAACGTAGACCTTAAGCACAGGTCTAATAAATATTCCCTTGCTATCTCCTATGTGCTCTGGCTATATCTCGAGTTTCCTTGGTCCTCCCAAATGACAAAGTGTGTCTGACTGGTTGCCACTATTAGCCACATCTCTTCGTCCTTTGTGTATTTGTTTTGGGTTTTTTTTGTACTAACCCAGACTCATGCTCCAGACATGAATGGTAATCACAAAATCCCCAGCAAGCTCTGGTATAGTGTTGTCTGATTCTGAGTAAAATCCCCCAAAGACTAATTGCTAAGCAAGGCCTGGTCCATGAGCTGTTGACATATTCATGGTTCATAGAACCTGTCATGCAATCATTCCATTTCCAGGGGAAAGATTTGGTTTGAGGCAGTGCGGTCATCAGCCTGCAAAATTAGAAGCAAACTAATTTGAAGTGCGGTGATATGGCTTTTTCCCCTGAGGATCACCACTCAGAACCACGTGCAGCATTTTATTTACTTCAATGGAATATTGTCATTTTAATCATCATTTTATTTTACAATTACATATTGTGATTTATTATAAACTATAATAAATGAGACAGTGTAACAATGACCTTTGATGCTAATCAAACATTTTCGATAACATAAGTTTCTTTAAATGGAGTCAACATGAGTTCAAATATCATACAATTACTGTATTTAATCATTTGTTCTATTCAAAGAAAGCTTGGTGTTTTATATCATCTCTAATATGGCATCTGTCTATAGACATTGTACGTGTATGAAGAATTAACAAAACTCCATAATTTACCTTATAGTATGGAAGGGTTTTTTAATTAGATTAGAAATGTTATACCTTTTAAATAATCATCTGTCCTTACTAAACTCACTAGCACTAAAAGTTTCTGATTTTTCCCAAGCAATTAGCTGCTTTATAATCTTAAATTCCTTAAAAAGAAGATGATACAGCAGAACTCTCACAAATGATCCAACGGCAATAAACTTGATTCTGGTGAAATCTGTAAGGAAAAATACTTTATGCGAGAAATTATTTGGCCTCAGCATTCAAGAAGGAACTTTAGGACATACGTTAGGTTCCCCTCATTGTTTCTTCCATTTAAATGATCTAAAACTGAGATGGCAAAGAACAGAGCACAGAGCTGCAGCAGAGGCGGTGCTCGGCCTGCCCAGAGGAACGACACTTGGGACAAAAAGGCTGCTGGTGGATCTTCCTCATGCTTCATCCATCAACACCGGTCAGACCATTTGTCATTTTTTAAGGGAGGCAAGGATACTTTCTTACAAACAATAGACCTAACAAATGGACAAAAAGTAGAACTTTAAAGCAGATTATTTTTATAAATCATTTGCCCTATGAAATAACAACACGGGAAGATGAAACAAAAATAATTGTGTATCTGGAAATTGGAAATGGTTAGCATCTGTCTTGTTAAATAATTCAGTATTCCCATCCGTTTTTCATAAAACTCCGCTTCATAAAGGGAAACACTTCGGAAAACTTCCATGAGATTTCTCTTTTTCTGTCATCAAACTGTTATCAATAGCTAATGCTCCAAAGAAGAGTCTGATAAGTGGATTATTCCACAAGTTGAAGAAACATTTTTACATGTCTTAGGTAAAGAATGAGTTTAGTAATGACAGAAGTCATTCTTATTAATAGTATATTTAGGAAACTAAGAAAGATCTGCGATTATATACATTAATTTTCTCAGCTAAAATATAGCCCAAGATTCTGCCACCAGACATGAGATGGTATCCCATCGTAAGCAGTATGGCTGCACCCCTAGAAAAGTGACATTTTCTTTAGTGCTGAACCCTGGGACTTATGTACATGCTTCATGTTGGCAAAATAGAAGGCCCCAGCACTTCAGCTTTTCTGACTTGATCTGCTTCAAATTTCTTTATTTAAGACATATTTCTTCAAACTAGGGAAAACCTGATTTGCTGTCTTATATTTAGACTCAAGGTCTGTGAGACTTTGAGACTTGAGATTACCTCAAAGAAGACTCATGTAACATATTTTTCCTTATTGACATTAGCCTATGTATTTTTCATAATGAACAATGCAACAAAGCAAAATATTTATAGCATTATATCACATTCCCAAAGTGAATAGTTTGTATAACATGATAAAAATTTTCATATGATAATGTCACATAAATATGCATCAGTCAAAATATGCATGTTTCAATTAATCATGAAGTTTGTACCCCCTCTTTAGGATTTAATTAAGCAAAATGTTTAGGGCATTTTCTTTCCAATCTAATTT